TATTATAAGTAGTAGCAGTAAAATGACAAAAACAAGTAAATTTTACTTTTACTTTAAACATGAAACTGAACAAATCTGGAAACGTTTATTTATATTGCTACTTATAATAATGATCTACTGTATTATGTCTTAATCTATCTGTAGCAAGTATTGTAGTATAATTCCTAGGCCAATAACCCCATCTCTATCAGATTTTTTGTTTAGTTTTCCTGGTCCCTTGTTTCATTTCTGGACAGTAATGTAACTACACTCTCTCAACCCAGGACATCATATTGACTCATCATTCACGATTGTAATTGTGCATGTGATTCAAATATTATTATTATCAGTATCAGATTTTCATTAATACGCGTTTCATTTGTGTAATAAAGTAGCAAATGTGAAATGTGTAGAAAGGTTTACAAAATAACTGCTTTTATACGTAAGTTTATTTTGCTTGTAGTCTTTCCATGTTGAGTGTTGTCATGAGTTGATTTTCTGAGAGTTTTTTAATCCAATGTTCGGGGAGTTGAAGGAAAAATTTAGCTGACATATTATTTGAGAATTCTTTTAACACAAGGAAAAGGTTGCAATAAATTTTTAGACATAACTTAATAGTTTTCAGTTAGATCTCATTTCAATAACTCTTTTTAAAACCAAACTAAGATATTTTGCATTTAGAAATAAATGGAGGGAACAAATCTATTGTACCAACATAACATTAAAATCATTTCTGAAGAAGTTGTGCATAAATTAGAAATCTATCAAGTAAATAGTATTATGAATGAGATTCTGTTTAAGAAATGTGTGACGAACGAATAGACAGCACACTGTGCTGTCCATGTGTACCATCAACTCAACATCTCTATGTGTACCATTAAGTCACTTCTCTAGAAAACCTCATTCCTCTTGACGTCACTCATCAGTATTATTCTCACCTACTTTATTGCTGGGTTCAGAAGATGTATGTTGTATTATTCTTTCTATCAATATCTCCCGTTGAGCAGAAGCTGAATACCTTGTGGCTCCCCTTGTGTATTTCACATTTATTTCATTTGGCATTAACCACCTCTGTCTATTGAATGTTTTAAAAGATGGGTTCCAGATTTTGCTACCAACGTTTCATCTTTTTGTAAGTGTATTAAAAGTGAATATTTAATAAACATTTAAAATGGTTGTAAGTTCTTGCAAATTGATAAAAATAAAAGATCTTTGTATCGATCTTTCATCCACTAAAATTATTCACCTTCAATATGGAAGGCACTGATCAAAATTCATCCATAATTGTACATACCACTCAAACCATTTAGAAAGAGTTGCAGTCTCGTTTGTTTACCAAAATGTGAACTCCTCCTATCATAGGTTATTGTCCATTTTACTTATAATTGGTATTGATTAACATTTACAATAAATACTGTCATATTAAGAGTGAATATTTAATATAGTGGTCAGCAACAGTGGCATATTGGATTTTCTCCAAGGCTGTCTCAAATGTGTAGAATTTCCAAAACCTTTAAACAAAGATTCGATTGTTCAACTTCAAAGATCTGATTTATATGGCTCCAAGGACAGCTTTTATGCAAAAAGAGTACCATTTTTCATTTCTGAGATGCACACAAATTTAAACTAGGCAAATGCAGATTTAAACAAATTGTCATTCTCTTACTTTTTTTATACAGAACCACAATCAGGTGATACTTGGAAGTTGGTTCCTTTTACAGAAAACATGTTTTTTGTAGAAAAGGAACTAAATGCAATTTTTATTATTTTAGACAACCATGCCCAATAAACAAAATGCTAACCCAAGACTTCACATGACAAAGATTTAAGGACATGTCTACAGGGAATTGCTTGTGAACACCTTCCAAATAACAATTTGAGTGAATACCACTTTCAACAACAGTTGCTCAGTGTAACTAATAGAGAAACTCACCCAAAAGTATTTGAAGTCTCCACATGAAATTCAGAATGTAAAGGATTGCATTATTAAGTTTCCAGGAAATGCGTACCTCTACTGTCGACAAGATGGTAGCGATACAAATATCAGTCCAGAGACAGAACAGATCAAACAAATCAGTCAGTCCAGAACAAATCAAAATTATGTGACTTCCACAGTAAGTTTCAGTTGCTAGAGAAAGGACCAATAATATCAAGTGAAAAATACTGAAGGAAGACACTTCCTCCAAAAGTGCCAATTTTCATTCCAGTATTAAGAAGAGTACCAACATTTCTGACAAAGGAAAAATTGAGAATGCTTTAAACATGCATTACTTTCAGGATATAAGGAAGAAAAGTGATGAATGAGAGCAGAACTGCAAAAGGAATTTAACAACCTGGAAACTATATTTGGAGAAGACATTTTCCTGACCAAGAATTTATTTATATATTTACAGGTTGTAACAAAGTACAAATAATGTTGACATTATTTCGCAGAAGACAAAGTCTTGCGCGCAAACCTGCAATGACTAATCATGTATCATATATGTCTACCTGTTTCAACAAACATTTTTCAGAATTTCAACAAACATTTTTTATCAGAAGAAAATTTGGATATAACATTGGGATTCACTCTGAAAAAGAAAATGCATTTCTTTTATTACTTAAATTTACACATCAGACACAGCCTTGGAGAAAATCCAATATGCCACGGTTGCAGACCACTATATTAAACATTCACTCTTAATTTGACAGTATTTATTGTTAACGCTAATCTACATCAATTATGTGTAAAATGGACAGTAACCTGTGATGGGAGAAACTCACATTTTGGTGAAAGAACAAAACTGCATCTCTTTCTATATGGTTCGAGTGTTATGTACAATTATGGATTTGGCAACAAGGAACTGAAGACAAGGAAGTGGGTGCTTGTTTGCAAAAGCACATTACGACTCACGTTGAAAGAAACGACAGATTTTTATGATGCGACACATGTGGGGATTGCAATTGTATCATAAAAACAATAATTTAGTCTCATGACATTACAGTACCTAGTTTTCAGACACTGTTTTTTTGCAAACTATTCCAGTTTCTGTAAAGTAGAATTTGCACTAAAAAACCAACTACAATGAAGGTGATGGTAAAAAGAAGAAAATGGTTGTATTACAAATCCCAAAAGATGACTTCAAGACCAAGGAACAACTGACATCAAAGAAAACAAATCTACTGGCTTGTCATTCAAATACATAACTTTAAAGCAGCAAATTATTATTTCTTCAAACGAAAACTAACCACCTCCCAGATAAATTTCTTTCAACTAAAAGTTAATAAAAGACCATCAGAAAGACAATGAAAAGGCTTTCATTCATTTATGTTGAGTTCCTTATGGTGCAACAAGCAAGAAAAAACTTAATGACCGAACTGTGTCACTTCATACCAAATGATACCTAGGTGTTTTACAAAAAATCTTAATTGAACATTTAAGTCCATTATGATAGATGGTTTTGGAATGGTTGAAGACCTCACAGAAAAATATGATGAAAAAATGAAATAATACACATGTTGTTTCAAAAGTTGTATTGAAAAGTTCCACATAATAATTGAAGTCCAATAAATTTTGTATCTACAGTTGTATATAATACCCAGTTACCTATTGCCAAACATCACTGGGTTCCTTTTATATAAATATTAATATAACTTATTATTAAAAAGTCAGTTGCCCTTTTTACTGTGAAGTGGCTAGGAGTGGGAAATTTTAATGGAATATGATATAGTAAAACCTCATTTCCATAACTTTCCATCATAACTTGTCCCTACACTACATTCTACAATAAGGTTTCTCAGCTTTTTAAGTGATGACAACTTTAAATCACATTTTCTCAGTTTGCAATAAAAGGTGGTCAATTACTTTAACATAAAAGTCATCTAAGTAATGGTATTGTACAGAATACAACGATTCTTAGCAGCACCATAATTTAGAATCCCCTCACTCAACAAGGTACTACAGTGGTTTGCTTCCAGTACCTTTGCTTCTTTTTCTGTCAACATAAATGTGATTAATTTTCCCACATTTATAGAATTAATGTTGTGTCTACAGGTACTTGTTGCCATGGTCACAAAAAATCAGTATTACCATTGTGTTACATTTTGCTTATCTCTCATACAGGAAGGCAACAGAAAGAAGTATGATGCATTATGTATGTATTATGTATGCATGTGTAATGTATTAATGTAGCAAACAAAGCTATAGCTGAGGGTGCAGAAATTGAAAGGCCAATAACAATGCTGAACTTGCCTACTCTAGAACTTCAATTTCAATTGCATTGGATAAAAAAAGATCCATTTTTCAAAATTCGTTGTAAAATTATGTAATTTACAGTAGTTTGTTTACTTTCATGCACACTGAAATTATATTGTAATATCCAAATTTAGAAATTGAACTCACTAATACAATACAAATGTTTCAATTTTTTTCATGTTTTATCAATGAAGCATGCAGTATTGGCTGTTACACAATTTAAATTAATGAACTAAGTATATTAAATAAAATAATAAATATATAGGAAACCTTTAATGAAACTATCAGCAGCCTGTTTCACACAATTGAAAATCTGACGCTGTGAGATATCACACCAGTGTGATAGATTCGCAAGGTGATAGTATTGTTCAGTGAAATAAAAATGGTACTGCAAGATTGACAACGAATAGTATTAACAGAGACAAACTGATTTACAATATAACCTAAACATAATGTATATTATATAAACTCCTTGACTTGTAAATAAAAGTTATCTCACAATGCAACAGTTAATCATTATGTAAAAATGCCTCCTGGTACATATACTATCACTTTTATGAATGAGTCACATTGTTACTCTTGACAATGCTTCATATACGAACAAAATATCCAATTATTTTCAAAACCTACCAGGGAAATAAAATTCACGAGCATTTAACATCTACGCTTTTACAATTCCAAAACTTCTCCCGGATACATATCGCATGACTAAAAGGCCGGTACTAAATTAGCTTATGTAAACAGCAGCATTCAGATAAAATATTCCCATTGCAAGAGAATCACTTACCATTTCTTCCACACTTGCCGGGTCGTATACCAGAGATACGGAATTTTCCATGTTGACAAACTTAAAAATATTTACACCGTATCTTAAGTGAGCGATGAAGGACGCTTCAGAAGTTTAAGAGTTAGTAACAACATAATCTGCATACATTTCACACTATCAACGGAGGTAGACGGCGCTCGCCTCCCAATTTGAACTACCAGACGCAAGGCCGAACCGGAAAATCACCTCAGAGGCTGCACAAAAGACCACGTTGCCTATGCATAGAGTAAAAATACTCACTATGCCTATGCTATACGCTTGGAGAAATTATATAAAGAACAAAAGGGTATGAAATAGCGCATACGTTAGTAGCAAATAAGTTGTTAATATAAGTTGATGTTGTATATAAGTTACATAAAACACATTTGGCCATATTTTAAGCGAATTTAATTATTTACATCAAAAATCGTTAAAAACTGTGTGTGATGTTCTATGGGGAGAAGTTAAGTTGAAGAAACATTTATGTCCAGAAGCAAAAGAAGGGTCCATCTGAGCATTTGTTCAAAGATCACGGAAACTGGACGAAAACCTGATCGAGATGGGGGTCATTGACCCAGATTATGACAGGGAGAAATTATGTTACAAAGGATGAAACTCCCAAAGCGTTTAAAGTATAACTTCGAAAAATGGTGCATGGCCATGAAGTATGTAAGGGAGAGGTGAAGATAAATATGGAAAGAGTAAGTATCTAATCGGGCACTCTTAGCTTCAGCGACATCACACGCTCAATGGGAGAATCTTTTAAAGCATTTTCGGCCAATAGAGATGTTCAGTATAAGTTCGGCGGGAAAGGGGTGGGAATCAAGCTCTGGTACAACTCGCGCAACTTTTCTGAAACGGTGACCTTGCTTACCCCTCTCTAGCACATTAAACAGTTGAAGGCAAATGTTCGCAGCGAGCACTGATGACATTCCAAACACATCTTCACGGCGTGAAATATAAACGATGTTCTTTTGAAAACAAGAACTTCAATCCCCTGTTCTCAAAAAATCTTAAGAAATTACCGCATCAGGTAAAGATCTATCACAGGAGATATCTCGAACTGCTGAGAAAGTTAGAACGCAAATTATTGTAAACGTTGTGAAGACATGACTGATTCTCCAGTGAGTTCATGAAATGTAGTGGCCCATTTTATAACTAATACCTCCACTCTACCAGCATTTCTTCAATCCATCGTACTAGTGGCGCGAGTAATATGAGCGTTCCCTAGAGCATTAGTAAGTTTTGGGTTGTTAAGTTTCTTGCAACGTTTGTTATGTACGTATGTTATATACTTATGTTATACTTACTCCCTTTAGGAGTGTTTAGGTTCTAGTTGCGCATCTCGTTCACAAATTTGATTTGATCTATCATATACCAAGTCACTACCTTTTCATTTCTAAAATGTTTCGAAATAAATTTTATTGTGACCTTAGCGATGGTGATAAGGTGCTACTTTGTAATGAAATGTATGAAACATGTAGGCGCCCTTTCATCGGATATGAAAAGTGTCACGTAACGAATTTCGGGTCCCTTGAAGAGGTTCCCTTCGTCTATTTTTTATAAAATGTCGGCTTTATAAAAATTGGTTTTAGAAAATTTGATTAATTATTATCATTGAGAGAAATATTACTTACATTAAAATTTTATAATCACTCGGGAAAAGATCCAGAATGTTTGTAAATACAGTCCCCAAATTATTAGTATTTCCTTAGTAGGTAGTCAATATTTTGATAGTACATGTTTATAGGACTAAAAGCCGACTGACAAGACACATTGTGTAATCTCAATCTGAAAATTATGTGATGGGACGCGTGTCCCACTAGTACAAGGGCATGGGATACCTATGTCCGAATAGGCTATTACTTTGTGACTGAAAGAAAGGAATTTGTCTAGGAAATTAACTCAAATTATATTTTTTCTAGTATCGAACAGTTTTATTTTCTTATTAGGTGGTAGCATATAATACTTGGCAAAATGCAATTTATATAGAGGTTTCTGACAGATTTTACACATTGTTTTTGTACGTGTTTCCTTATTATTATTGGCTCACATCTTCTTCTTATGGGTCCTTCCTCTGGTAAATGCATTTCAACGTTTTGCATGAGTCTCCTCCTTTTAGAAGGTCGCAATGGGGAGGTCCGGATTGGATTCCCGGACCGTCCATCCTGATCCCTGATCGGGGTTTTCGTGGTTTCCCTCGGTCATATGGGGAATGCTGGGATGGTTCAAAAAGTCCACGATCACCTTTCACCAATATCCTATCACCTCCTAATATAATAATAATAATAATAATAATAATAATAATAATAATAATAATAATAATAATAATAATAATAATAATACTCAGCGGGGACAAAGTTGCTCGCGTCCGTGGTCTACCACACGTGTCCCCTGGGTAACACTAAATGAACAGCAGTGATTCGCCACCTACGCGCTTGACCATCGTGGACGTGCGGATTCCTACAAGTTGAGGGGGAAGTCTGCACGTCTATACTGGTCGGCGCGTCACCCAATGGCTTACAAACCAAGCTATAGCAAATAGCTAACAACAACCTCTTTTTAGAAGGTCTTCCATCATTGCACCTTGTTGCTCCTTTGCCTGAGATTTTCGCTTGGAAATAGTCTACTCTACCAAATTGACCACAAAGTACGTGAGTGGAACCTTTTTGCTAGGTATATCTTTGTGAATGATCCTAGAATTTACGACACAGATGAGTAATAATTTGTAGAAAGTCCATTTCCACCATTTGTTCGACTTTCTGTCGAGATCGTTGAGTGAACTCATCTTATCAGCTAATTCCACTCCTCCCATACACTCATTATAAATCTTCAAAGCCTGTAGACAATCTACACTCATTTTAGTTCCATTTTTAGTTTTCCTTCTCACAGTAGTCAAATCATTGATATGGCGATTGCTCTATAACATGATTTCTTTTGTGTCCTGCCACCTACACCACAATGTGCCCGAGGAATTACATAAAAAATCAGATAGTTCTTTCTCAAGTTTTGCATCGGAGTTTGGGACATATATTCTGTTTATCATGCATGTACCTACATCCGGAAGTGCTATGTTGTCTCTGAGACGAACAGAAGTAAATAATCTGTCAAATGTCAAAAGAACATCAGGGTTTCTAATGCTACTGAGGCGTCGTCGTAGCAAAAAGAAGATACAGACACGAGCTCTTTTTACAATCAGATTACTTACAAGATGTTTACAACTATGTGCAGCTCTTGGGTTATTTTCGTTATCTGGCCCAATTACTCTCACACACACATTACTCCCCATCCCCTAGCTAGTGCATCCTCCACCCTGACGCTTTACCGCGCCACTACCCGGACTCCCAGTGCAATTCACTCGCAGTGTCACCAGGAATACACGTTCGCCATCCAGGCTAGCAGTTGCGTCCGTACTCGAGGCCCTCTGAAAGCGAGGAGAATTGTATATAAATATGAACATAGCAACTCCGTGTCTGGGTTTCACTCGCACCACGCCGAAGTCACAAGAGCCTCATTAAAACTCTGCATATCGTTATCTGTTCCAGCATTTGGAAATGTCTTTTTTAGACACGATACTACTATATAGATGTGTCTAGAATGACGGCACGTTTGACGGGAAAGTGATGGGTGGCAACCTCTGCTGTGTGCATAAGTATTTCCAAGAGAATTACTAAGTTATTCCCCTGGCATCTCTCCTCTCTTATTTTTGGTGGTCTCCCTGAGGGTGAGGGTGGCCGCTCGGCCAACACGTGCATGCCCATAGGGGGCGGGGTCACTCTCCCCTGCCCTGCTCTCCCTGCGTTAGGGGTGTCACGACTCCCCCTCAGCTGACCCTGTTTTGGGGCCACCTTTGGTTCCCACGTGGCCCCCAGCCTCCCACCGCCCGCTAGCACGTTCGGAAGCCTGGCTACCTACTGGTGCCGTTACACTACCAGCCATTTCCTGAACAACTCATTCATCCTAAGGGCCTTCAGCGGCGTTTTCTTCTTTTCCCCAAATACTCGTTCAGGTCATAAGTAAATCCGCTATTGAAATCACTTTTCATTCAGATTTTTATGTCGCGATTCATAGGATTCAATGGGAGATACTGCTTCGATGCTGATCTCCCTTTGAACTTGACCATAGTGTAATGTCATGCCATTGTGCCACCGGAGCCCACAAGTCGGGAGGCCGGCAAGTGAATCATTTTGGCGGCAGGTTGAAGGCCATGAAGAGCTCCAGGGCCTCGCGAAGGGGCGGACTGGGCCCTGTTCACAGAACGCGGGTGTCAGCTAGCGCTGAGGGGGATGATGTGTAGGACAGCCTCGGGGCAATTGGCGGCGGGCGCCAAATTCCAACCAGACCCAAAATTCGGAAATGAGACCACGCCACCAGCGTGGAAGGTCTGTCACGTGATCCCCTGCGAGGGAGGCTGAAGAGAAACCCGCCCCAGCTATTAGAATTTAAACGGAATAGAAGTGCGGAGACACTTGTCACCCACCAGGAGTTGTCGCTAGCTGCGGCTGCGGGTGTTCGCCATGGGACGAGAGGCCAGGAGCAGCGGTAAGGTTAGCCGCTGGGGTCTATGTCAGGCTGAGGTGGAGATGCCGCCGGAATGTGCAGTACTTGGAGTGCAGCGCTAGTTCCTCAGGAGTGTAATTATTGCATAGAAATATTGTATATAAATATGAACATAGCAACTTCGTGTCTGTGTTTTACTCGCACCACGTCGAAGTCACAATAGCCTCATTAATACTTTGCATGCCGCCATCTGTTCTAGCATTTGGAAATGTTTTTTTTAGGCACGATACTACTTCTATATAGAGATGTCCAGAATGACGTCACAACGTTTGGCAGGAAAGTGTTGGGTGGCTACTTCTGCTGTGCGTGTACGCGATTCCTAAAGAATTACTAAGTTTTTGGCTGTATGATACGGGTGCCGAGGTTCATGTGTCTTATCACATTAGTTATTTACAATGATATTTGCTTTCTTTCGATGTATTTAGATTCTGGCTGCAAACTGCGTCGACAAATTGGATTTTAAAAAAAGCAAAATTGTATCAACACACGTCAAGTCGCTACATTTTCTATCTGAAAACGGTTCGAAGTAAATATTATCATGCCCTTAGAGATTATGCTAAGGTACTGCTTTATAATAAAACGAAATGTATGAAACATTTGATTCCACATGCCCTTTCATCGGTTATAAAAATTGCCAACCAATTTCGATCCCCTGTACTATTAAAGTAGAAGTGTCTTTTTCTGTATATTTTTATAAACTGTCGGCTTTTTAAATATTTATTTGAGATTTTTATTAATTATTTTCTAGAGAAATATTATATATATATATATATATATATATATATATATATTAAACTTAAATAATAATTTGTAAAAATTCCAAAATGTTCCTAAACTCAGTCCCAAAAAAGTTCACAATTTTTTACGGAGTGGAGAAACTTTCAATACTAAGTTCATCCAAACTTAATATAATTTAACTATTACTTTTTCAATAATTTTAATAAACATATGATTATTTAAAAATATAAATAGATATTGCATTTTTTATCATATTTTAAAAAATGTTATAATTTTCCTGTGCCGAATTCAAATTTTGATGGTTGAATTTCAATATTCAAGTAAGGCGCTTAAAATATTACTTGTTATTCCAATGATTTTAATGTTAAGGTTTTTGATGAAACGTATTTTCAAAATATTTTGCTTCGCGAGTTTTAATGAATATTTAATGCCATTTCTTGCCATACAATAATGGGACACGACTTGATAACCCTGGTGGCAGAGGAAAACAGTTTATTTGATGACCTACGTAATATTTGAACTTAGCTTTTACAAAAATAAAGTTTTAAAGAAGACGACTTAGCTCTTACACAAATAAAGATCCACAAAATTTTAGTGACACATGATGCTGTGTTTTCACAACACGTTCAGACAATGCAGTAAATTACAACTTATTTATTGAGAGCCATATCCTTTAGTGTGTTTATATTATTGCAAAAATATGGAAAATCTACATACGTTTTTACGTGATATATCTGCGAATGACCGGAAAATGTTCAGACGCGTAAATTGCGAAATACTAAGATGGTCAGCACCTGTAACCTATACTACAGTCTTGAAATAACCATTTAACTTTTCTTGCTTCAAAACAGAAATTTACTCTTTGTTGTTTTTTACTCTATTCTTACAAGAAAGTTAAAGAAAAAAAACTGTTTTTCAAAGTATTCGAGGGGCTTCATGCAAAGTATCCCCAAATTTTAAATAAAGTGTTTCAAAATCGCAATGCCTTGAGTGAAGTCAAATTGACTGGGGAATATCCATTTTGGAAAAGAATCCTACGTGTGATTTAGGCGCTAATGGTGTTCACAGACGGACAGACAGATGGACGGACGGAGATTTTGAAAAAAAACAACATTTTTTCGATGTGACGGACCCACAAAAGAGGGGTTCTGGGTACACCACGTGTTACAGATTTTTTTCCTTCATTTAACAGCTGGATTTATTTGCTTTTTCGTTATCAGGGCCCGGCAATGAATTTTTTTCTGCTGAAAATCCGCACACTTTCTCTATACTACGTGTATTATTAAGTGTGTTATATACGTACGTATACGAAAAAGTAAAAACATGAATCTATGAAATGAATGTATACATAAATTGTATCAGATTTGTCGAATATTTCATTATCTTCGTGTAACTTAAACATTACAAACACCCATTGCATTAGGAAAGTGCTAAAATATTTATTAATGAACGATTCAATAACGTAAACCGACGAGTGTAAAATAATGAATTTAATGGGTAAAATTCACATGTGTAATACGATTTGTAAAGTAAAGGACGTCTACTACAGTCGCAGATCCACGGGGAGGGAAATGTGGGAAATTCCCTCCCTAAACTTTTCCAATAACTATTAACTTGTCATAAGAGCAAATATGTTCGGATTACTATGAAACGAATACAATCTTATGTGTGAGTTGGGTGTAGCCAGCGACATTTACAAAATCTGTAAAATGACATATTCGACGAAAACATTTTGAATTTCCCCTCCCAAAATTCGATTCGGTTTCCACCTCTGTATTACAATACAACTTACGCTAGAAAACACAATTTGAAGGACAGGAAAACAAACCCAGAGAACGTATGTCATATTTATTATCTAATCGTAAATAATAATTACTTACATTATCCGCACACGATTTCTTGAGCCTTCATTTCGCCAGATGCGAGATTAGTGGGAGGTTGGTTATTTTGAGAACCAATTAGTATAATTCGACCAAGCGAAAAATGAAGGTGGTGATTGCGGCGTCTCGGGGAACTAACAGTGTAACCACGAGTCTATAGAGTCAGTTTCGCTAACAAAAGTCGCGAGGAGCGTGAAGCGAGTTGTTTATGGGTGTCGCTAAGAGAAATGTGAGTTCTCGTCGAGATGTGACACTTCGCTGGCAGGCAAGACGCCTTACACGTCATGTAATAAAAGTTTTAGTGAAAATAAATTTGGGCGAAAGAAACTTGTAACAAGTGTCACATTCTAATTTAAAAATAATGATATCAGAAGCAGTTGATAAAATAACACTAGAAGACGGGAAAAAAACTGTCACTTATACCAATAAAATAGCAAAAGAATATTGAGTTAGGGTTGCTTTGCTTGAAAATGCTGTCAATGACCTTGTATTAATAATAAGTGTCTATCCGGAAAATGGCGGTAAATCATCTAGGGACACGGACACTCAGACACCAGGCAGGAAATTTTTACGGCATCGGAGGCATACTGCTTCTCAGGAATCAGCAGATGAAATTTAACTTCAGAGACACATTATGCAAGATTTACACTCACTATTTCATTATTGACTCGTTAAGTTGCATTTTTAAAAACTTTTAATCTTTTTATTACGAAAATAAATATATAAAATCTTTCTTTTTATATCAAATGGTTTTACGTTTTAGTTGATTTTAAACATTTTGTATTCTTCTTTATTCATCATTTTTAAGCAGTCTTTATGCCACTAGTTAGGTATTCAATAAAGTACCTAACATGAATAAAGAAACAAAACTTCACTGACATACAGTAAGTATCTACAATGTTCTTCATTATGGTGGTAGTTGCGTATTATATTAAAAAATATTTTATTTGGTAAATATTCTGAGAAACTACAAAAGTTAAATTAAACGATTTATACGAATGACACAGTACAAATTTTCTGCTCATCGAAGGAATTCGATCAAAATTTTGATTCGTTCTCCATAGAAAAGAAAACTTTTATTTATTCCAATACGAGGTGCAGACGTCCAAATACAGTTAAAATATACCTTGGGAAAACACTAGATTTGCAACGAAATAAATTGCGCTTTTCCTCCACAAGTTTGGCACACGCCATTTTTAATTTGAGTTAAATTTTAGTTGAGTCCTTATATCTCCGTCTATCGTTTCGACTCAACGAGCCTGAATTCTATCTCGTTTCGGCAATAAACACAGACAGTGGCGCAATCCTGTAAACATCATTCTCAGCTCGTTTTTCGATCAAAAATATTTACTATTACACGGGAGTGAACATTTCTGTCCATATTTCGTCAACAATGATCGTGGCTGACATCTATTCTTTATTCAATGTTAGTAAAGAAGTAGGGATAGGTATTTCCGGGCACGAGAAAAGGTGCGAGCATAATACATGGCATTAAATAATTAACAACCACATCAATTTTATGATGCGAAATAAATTATGTATACGATTGCTACATGCATATGTTACATATACATCATTGTGCGTAATATGGATTCTTTCTTAGCTGTTCCAATTTAATTATAGTGACGTCTACCGTTTGATCAGCTGGAAGGGTTATCCAATCCGGGAGCTTCATTACGACTCAATTTTTGGAAATGAAGTTCCTGATTGGATAGCCACACTCCGGCAGATCAAAGTCCAAAGTCACAATAATTAAATCAAAGAATACATCCAGATAGCTTAGCAAGACTTACAATTTTTAATATAGTGTAGGTATCAAATAATAAATTAATGTTATTTTCAGACATTTTATTGTGTTGAAGAGAAACATTAGCATACTGCAATAGTAACTTGTTTATCATGAATGAAATTTGACTCAGAGTAATTCACGCGCATCGTCAATATTTATGGGTGCCATGTTGGTATCGTTGTTTGTTTCTGAGCAAAAATGGAAGAAATAGGAATCCTGTTGTCTGACAAGGTTTAAATGCGTTGTATTCATTTATGTATTTTTCAAATTTGAATATTATATCGTTGTATTTATAGCTTGTATAGAGTTAATTGAATTAATTTGTATGAGACACAAAAATAGCATACGCGATTTAATTTACAGACTGATCTAGGACACGCCACCAAGCCTACAAATGGAACAACGGCTGGATCGGGTGAAGATACAGATGAAGATCTTTACACCAAATACAAGGTAACTATTTATACTTTTACGCATACACAAATTCAGTTTACTTTTAATATGTTAACATTTATTTTTCAATTTACTCGTATTTTTGTCGGAAATCATTACAGAAATTGCAGAAACAATTAGAATTTTTAACTGTACAAGAGGAATATATAAAAGATGAATTGCGTTATTTGAAAAAAGAATATGTACATGCTCAGGAAGAAGTAAAGCGCATTCAAAGTGTTCCTTTGGTCATTGGGCAATTTTTAGAAGCAGTTGATCAGCATACGGGAATTGTCGGAAGTACCACAGGTCTGAGTGTCTTGAAATATAAATTAGAACGTAACACCATTACCATGTGTCCAACTATTTTTCTTTTGTAAAGGATCTAACTATTATGTGCGAATTTTATCTACCATTGACCGAGAGTTGCTGAAACCTTCCGCTAGTGTGGCTTTACATAAACACAGCAACGCTCTTGTCGATGTCTTGCCTCCAGAAGCGGATTCATCCATTTCACTATTACAGGCTGGTAAGTTTAGATGGGTGTTAAAAATTATCTATTCACAAAATGCTAGTTTCTCCAGCCTAAGAAAATTCATCCTTCACAGATGAAAAGCCCGAGGTCTCATACGGCGATATTGGGGGTATGGATATGCAAAAACAAGAAATTCGGGAAGCTGTTGAATTACCTTTGACTCATTTCGAACTCTACAAACAAATTGGAATCGATCCTCCTCGAGGAGTGCTTTTGTATGGACCTCCAGGCTGTGGCAAGACCATGTTGGCGAAGGCCGTGGCTCACCATACTACGGGCAAGTACTTGCAAATTCTGTCGTGTAGACTCTACGCAGAGGGGCAAATTTTAATTTCCTCTATATAATATTGAAATATTATTAACTCGTAATCAAAAGTAGTAGTAGTAGTAATAATAATAATAAAATGGCAAATTAAATATTAATATCCAAATAGGGCCGTTTAAACAGCATTGGGAACCCTTGGGCCTAGGTTAAATTGGGGCTCCCTATTCTTACTTTCATGGATCTCCCGTCCCCCTCCCAATTTCGATGCTAAAATATAAATAAAATCGTATCAAATCACACTGTATTTTGTATTTAAATTTACTTTGGCTAATTTAAAACGTTTGTTCATTGTAATGTGCCATAACACATGTTTTCTCCTATTACCTTCGCGAACCCGTGCAAGAACTCTCGAATTTAAACCCCACACTCTTCCCTATTCTTCTATTTCCTGTCTAAGAGGAGAAGTTGTTAACGAAACGTTTTTATTTGTTTAAAAATGTATAAAGGTAACTTCTATTGTAATAACACAATATAAAATAAAAAATAATGCAATTGATGTGGAAAAGAAATGTTCACTAAAGTTTTATTCAGCATTATCCAGGGATTTCTGGGAACAATTCAGAACACTCCCTTAAAAATATTTGAAGTAATCATTCAATATTATTTGACAGCTTTTCGCTTTTCGTGATAGTCATAAAAATATTTTTTTAAAAGCGTTTTACTCTTGAGAAAGCTACGTGACTGAACACGCTGACTTGAAAGTTACACCGAATTACTGCTGATCACGAAAATACTAGTACAGGTGAAACACAAACGAAACTTAACAAGACACATCTTCACTCTTCACGTCACTCACTCACATCCCTCCACAATTCGGAACACATCATTTCTAGACCTCTGCAAAACGTTAAATGAATGTTTTCACTACACGCATAAGAAACAATCTTCAGTATCAAGTAACTATTAATAGTACTTCTATTTGTTGCTGCGAGAGTGAATGTTGAATTAATAATTATGCAAATAAACCTCGTCAGTCTGCGCAAACCACGGTGTACACAGAAAGCATAAATAGCATGGAGGAATATTCCTCCATGTAAATAGTATAAGATAGAGTGATCTAAGACTTCTAGACTTCTAAAAGTGACGTCACAAAGATGGCCACCATCACCAAGGGTTGAAATATAGGCGTCATTAGTAATATCAAGAAGTGCCGAACCAACAGAAATTTAATAGAATGTCCAAAAATATCTCATCCTGTAGATTACAATATGAGGAACGTTTATTTGAGACCTTTGGCTTCATTATTTTAGTTTTCAAGCCCCAGAACGCTTCGTTTGGGAGTTATTTAACGATATAACTGACTGCGTGCAGCGGGTTGCATTTGTTATTAATATTTACATGGGTTTTTCAAACGAATTCTTCATACTTTAAAGTCAAAGTGCAATTCTTCATGTGTACGTGAAATTATTTTTCTTTAGAGATCTCATTTATAAAAATCGGCTGCATGTAAGTGCCGCAAAAGGTTTGTATATACTGAAATAATATAGGAGACGATAATCAATTCAAATCTTGGTTGATTAAAAACATCGGACAAACATGCTTTCGTTTGAAGCTACTGGTCTAAATATTTTGAGCGCGCTTCACCTTTGTGCTTGCATTTGTACAGCCCTTTGTGGAATTGAAAGAGCGCCAATATTCTTAGGCGGGCAAGTAGTTCGTGCGTGAACAGTGTGACAGGCTGAATGTAGATCGTTAAAACTGACCTTAATCCTGACTTAATGACGATTTATGTTGTAACGGAAAGGAAGTGCTGTACTTCACAGTATCTCATATCAGGTGCATTGAAACATTTAATACACGTTTTTCAAAGAATTTTTGCAGAAACTCGTGAAGGAACCGGGTAAAAAATACGTAGTGCAAATCTATTCGTCTTATCAAGAGGAAAGGAATCATCTATTGCTCACCTTTGTATGTTACATAAAACACAAAAACTTGTCTTCGATTCTTAGCCCCCGCCCCTTAACCCATATTTTTAGGACGTCCCAAGGAATTTCTGGAAGGTCCAAAAAATGGACACTTCCCCATTTGACCGACACGGTTCCCATGACGCCTCTATTGACCCGAAGGGTGGATCGGAGCTGGTGTAACTGTAGCAGATGGACACATGTAGAATGCCCAAACACTGCAATGTGTAGGATAAACCACGACCGTTCCTTTTATGTTTGCAGCTGCCTTTATAAGAGTGGTAGGCTCAGAATTCGTTCAGAAATATCTGGGCGAAGGGCCACGGATGGTGAGGGATGTTTTTCGGCTCGCCAAGGAAAACTCTCCTGCCATCATCTTCATCGACGAGATCGACGCCATTGCGACTAAGCGTTTCGATGCCCAAACGGGGGCTGATCGAGAGGTCCAGAGAATACTTCTTGAGTTACTCAATCAAATGGATGGATTCGACCAGACTACCAATGTCAAGGTACTAGTTTGAATTGCTTTTTGTTAGTTATTTTGAAGATCAGAGTTTCTCATCCGACGAACGGAACTTGAAGTTTTAATTGACTGAATTTGGATATCTATTCGACAAATTTACTAAATGGGATCATGGTTAGTTTTTTTTTAATTTAATAAAAAAAAAACAACAGGATTTTGCAGCGGCCACAATAAATATACCTATTCGCAGGACTTATCAGTACGATTGTGAAATAAATACTATTAATATCATTAAGCAATTGGAATGAAAGTGCGCGGTGTTAAATAGATTCGTACAGACGGACAGATCCAAAAAAATGATTTGATGTGAGAATAGTTTTAATAATTGAATAAGTAGAGTAAAAAAGTAGTAAAAAGCTGAAAATTCGAAAATCTGACAGACACTTCAGATTTGTTTATACTGATTAGATGACATTTGATTTTGTGAACGCAGACACAAGATTTTTTTAGAAGCACATCATGTTTCCTATATTAATTTAATTCTCCTTCTGTTCGTAATAGGTGATTATGGCAACAAATCGCGCGGATACTCTCGACCCCGCACTTCTGCGGCCCGGGCGCCTGGACAGAAAGATAGAATTTCCCCTTCCTGATAGGAGACAGAAGAGACTCATATTTGCCACAATTACAGCTAAAATGAACTTGAGCGAAGAAGTCGATTTGGAAGATTACGTTGCACGTCCAGACAGAATTTCTGGTGCCGATATCAACGCAATATGCCAAGAGGTGAGTCCATTTTACTTACTAATAAGTATTTTCTACCTCTTATTCCAGTCAGAAAAAAATAAAAGTTAATTGGTCAATTGAAGAGACAAGGGATAAACATGTGGTTTAAATATTCATAAGACAGATCCATTAAAACTTGCTCTTTAAGCTTTATATTGTAATATATTATTACAAGGAAATACGAAATATCATACTTCTTATAACAAGGTATGATCTTGATAGGGCCTGTTTTAATAATATTAAATTACTAAATGACAGGGAGATATGACCATAAGATGTAATTATTGTAGTTTTCAATGACCTTATAATTAATCATGTAAGTTAGTATTACAGCGTGCAATGACGACTCGTGCTTAGGTTGGACAACTCTAAGATAATCGGAAAAATCGTATAATATGTTAGGAATATACATTTTCCATTTATTGTCATTCAATACTCGAGATATTATAGTGCTATTTTTATAACTGTGCACCTTAAGACCCGTCTTTACGGTGGCATTTTGTCACTGCGTTTCGCGTCTTTCTCGGTCGCAAGATGTCGCGACCGTATGTATATCAATCATTGCTTGATAGTCGCGATCCTGCGACAAACAGCGGTCGTGAAGACAGGAGTCGCACAATTATAAAAATCGCACTATACAGCAATATCTATGGATATAAAATCAGAGATCGGCTGTCGAAGCTCTGCCGCCTCATGGCTTCCAGGCTCGCACCGAAGTCATGGTCTTAAGCTCTTTTCCTGCGTTTACTGATTGAGCGCGCATTCTACGCCTCAACATTGGACCCCGTGCACTTTCGCCTCAAAATTTGCGTAGATATGTAAATATGTAAAAGCGATTCATGGATTCCGACTACACAACGTGTTAAGAGGAAATCATTTACTAGTATAAATAAGAACAAGATTTATCCACTTTTTCGTTACCAGGGCCCAACTATAAAAATATTTCTGTCGAAAATTCGCCGTGTTTCGGCGCACAATTATAATATTTTCTCTTCTTATAAGGGCCAGAAGACAAAAGATCGATCGTTTCTGTTGCCCGATTTCAGGGCTAACCCCAGCCGACGTTGTAAAATTAAACCATGCACCAGCTTCTCTTTGCTGGCTGGACACGTCCTGAAGAGTTCTTTCATCCTCCTTGTCCGTCCTCCCGTTAGACATGGACCATGCGAGACGCGTTGATAAAGTTGAAAGGCGTGTAGACAGCAGCTCGAGAGGGGAACGCTCTCAGTTCTTCCTCAGAGCGATTCAATTAGATTGCTTAAAAGCGCACTTTACAATTCGTTAAAAGTAAATTTCCTTATATTTACCAACTAAAACAATATCGCCTGCATTTTCCCTAATACATCAAAACCAACATATCATTTAGTAATTACAACCAGAAGAACGTATTTGAGGAGGAATACGGTTGTAGAAAACGTTAATAAGAAATATATTATCATTCACTTACAGAATAGTGCAAGGAATATTTGTCAACTGTATACTAAATGTAATTTAATCTCATTACAGGCTGGTATGCACGCTGTTCGCGAGAATCGCTACATCGTCCTTGGAAAAGATTATGAGAAAGGTTACAAAAACAATATAAAGAAAAATGAATCCGAACATGAGTTCTATAGATAATTTATTAGCATCATTTGTAGAGAAATTGTTTTTTGTTATTGTTCTCCCACAAAAAACATGAATTAAAAATAATGCAATATAAGATATTATTCATTACTGTATTTAAATTTTAAAATAGTATTCAAAGCAACATCAATTTTGAAGGCAACCGAAATAAATATCCATTTATAATAGAAGACAACTCTCTTAAAGGTGAGTTGTCCTACTCTCCCTCTCCTCTCTCCTTTCCATCTCTCCATCCCGCACCTTCCTCTCCTACTGTCCTCGACCTCGCCCCGCGTCACATGGCAACGCCCAGCAATATTGAAGCCCAGGTGGTGATGCGCCATCTAGTGGAGTTACAATAAAATGAACAGCATCAAAAAGCCTTCTCCGTGAAACACACGTGCATGCACGCACGCAAGCTCACACACACAGACACACAAGCCTGCCCGAATTACTTTGAAGTGAGCTCTCAATTTTTGAATATTATAATCAGCGATTAAAATTTCTTAAAGTAAAGAAGTGTGTTGGTTCTAAGTTAAATTTATTACCTTCAATCTATTTCCTTTCATTCATATATTAGCTACATCATACAATCATCACGACCGATACCAATGGGATGAAGTCAAAGAATTTTGAAACCACTGTGCTGCGATTTTGTGAAGAGACAACGGGTCATATGATTAAAAATGAGCACTTGCTTCGAAGTATTTGCTCCGGGGTAAAGTGAGTCTACTCCACGATACTGAAAAAAAGCTCCATATCGTATGAATACAAACTCCGCTCGTTGTGAACAAGTAATAGTGCAGGCTAAGAGTTAAAAATTGGTTCCCTAAGTAACAAAGATGTTACATACAGCCATCGCGTTTGTGATGAGCAAAAAGGAATGTTTTGTTGTCTCGTTCTTTAAATTCGAATATGAGTAGCAGGCAGAAGAACAGGCGCCAGAGGCCCAGCTACTTTTTGCTGAAATGCTAAGCGAATATAAAATTATTTTTACAAAGTTTGGAAAATCATTACCCTCAAAAATTCCGAGTAAAAAAGAGCGATGGTCAATTAACATAAAATATATGTAATATGAAAACGCGTCTGAAAGCAAAAACCTGTAAAAATCGTACCAAACATATCATCCTTTTCGAATCTGTAAACATTCTTATACTCTACATCACAAGGATCTCGCCTTAACTTGTAAATTTTTTTAGTCCGCTGTATCTGCATACCAGCACATGGTAAAAAAAAAATCGGCCATTTTAACCGTACTTTTCAAACGTGTCTGCTACTAAGGTCCCTCCGAAATTTTGGAGCAAGTGCTAAATCTAGAGAGTAAACGCTTAACTATATTAATACCAATTCTAAGCATTTGCTCGCCTGTTGAGAGCACGCTCAGAGACGGAGCAAGTGCTCCGAGACTGAGCAATTGCTCGCCCACTTTATTCATACGTAACTAAGAAGGATTTCCTAAACTCGAAGTAAAGAGTAATTGCTTACTTTAATTCATACCAACCAACGCGTCCAACGAAGCGCGCGAAATTCAAATTTACGATTCCCAATTTTTTGCAACTTTCGGCACTCAATACAAAGAGTGCGTCTAAAATGGAACCACTATCTTTACAGTTCTTTGGTACGAACGAGGAAAATATTTAAAGAAAAAAATTGAAGCGGTTTCTGATATTATAATTTAAAAATTATCTGACGCCAAAAACTATGTTTTCTAAAATATTGGAATTGATCATATTTGAAGATCTATTTCCGATGAACACATTGCAATAATATATGCTCTCAGACTATTATATTCAATTTAGGGTATGGCAGGTGTAGAAGTCGCGAATAGTATTTAGTACAGCTCCCATTTTGTACTAAAATACACACACACACAAAAATCACCCGTAAGCTGTTTTTCTCAAATAAGATCATTTTCAATTAGTTTCCTAACATTATGTCGCAAAATCGTCAACAAGTACATTTTATTCTTCCCCGGATTTCCTTTATCACTTCCATATTTTTGTCCCCTAATGTTTGAAGAGATTAAAACTCCACAAAATCAGTCTAATTGTACTTTTTTTAAATTTTATTTTCAAATTGGTTGCGTCTTGCATTGACGCAACGCGTCTTCAAGCCCCGCAGGGCGTAGAGCACTTTGCGCTTCCGGAGTAATCCTCCATTAATTCATATCATATCAAGTCGTCATGTCTGTCACGTCTCGTCGCAGTTTCCAAGAGAACCGCCAAGTATCATCTCCGCGTAAGCGCCCCTGCGACACTACTCAGCGGCCAGAATTGGGGTAGGGTTTTGGATACTTCACAGGGGTTTGGACTAGCCCCTGTAAAGCATGCAAACTCGTTTTGTCGTTACAAATTTCGCGACATCTAAGAGAATCTATGGGAATCGAACCCGGAACCTCTTGGGTGAATGGCAAGTGACTTCGCCATTGGTGTGAACTTCTATTTCTGCTTTATTTATCGTTTTGTAGGCGAATCTATATAAACTTTAAAAGGCGACTGTTTTGTATAGATATGTTTTAATAGGAATAAGTTCTTACTTAACATTCATTTGAAAATCAGTATTTGCTCTTTAGAATGTAAATGTGAGAAATTAACATTAGATTGATTTTACTGTCGAAAATTCGCACTTTTCCAGGGCACGATTATAAAGTACAAAGAAAGTACGAGAAAGTAAAAAGTAGTATTTATTCTAATTTAGGAAACAAAAAATACATTAGAGACCATGAGTAATTTGGGGCAACATCTATGGGAAATTTGATAAAATTTTAAAACCTCAAGATCTCTTACTGTTTGATCAAGAAAACAATTTTTTCCAAAATTGCAATTAACCATTTCCTCAAAAGTTATGGAAAACTTTTTTTTTTTTTCCCTACACAAATTTTGGGATTTCTTACTAAAACCAATATAACTCAAGTAACATCTTTTACCTTGTTTTTAAGGTAAAATAACTTATCAGCTGCACTTATAAACTATAGATTCAAATCTTTTCATTCATTGCAATGGGGTGATGTAGAGGCTGAAGCTCAACGACCCTCCTTGTGCTTTGAATAAAAACATACTTAATATTGAAAGATAAAACAGCATATTTTATTGTTGAGTACTAATTACCATAGTATTTTTTAATAATTTATGTAATATTTATAATAATTAATTAAATACGAGCAATATGAAGAAAACTGAATATTAATGCTCATTTATGTAAATGTAATTAAACTTTCTTTTTGTTCTATATGGACCACCACAAGGTGCTAATCCTGCAACTCCAACTCTTGATACTTGCTGAAAAGTCTTTTATATTTTTAATTTTTTTAAATACAATTAAACATATTCAAAATATTTGAAACTCAGCACCATACCATATCAACAGCACCTAAGAATTGCAAAAACAATTTCAGAAGGGGATATACTGTATAAATAAAACATAAGTGTTTGCAATTTCAAAATAACTCCTTTTTATACCATCATTTGATTAAATTACATGACTCATTGAATTATTTTTACAGTTTTTGTCTCTGGGCTAAAATGGCCAAAGTTCTTTGATGAGATTTTCACTGAAAGATTAGTGTATTTGGTGGGGTATAATTTAGGTTACTTATTTGCATATTATTTTTCATTCGATCAAGAATTCTTTTATACAAATTAGTTATATTCCGATTTTATTTAAATTCTGTCAAGCAACTTTCAAAACAAGAGAAAAGTTAGTCTACATGAGATTTCATAAAACTATACTACATGATTTAGACAAAATCAAACCCTGACATTCTTTGCTTTGGAGTTGACAAATGACAAAAAGTTTGACTCTTAAATGATTTTACCTTACACTCACTGCAAAAGATCATACACTACTGATAATTCATCTACAATTTATAATTCAAGATAGTCATGCTGTGATTCAACATGCAAGGAAAAATTATTAAATTGATAAAAAAAAATTAACTACAAAACAGGGTCACCGATTTAGATATAAATGATCATTGACATCTGGAAGGAATGCAAGCCATGAATATTTGATGTTATTAATCATTGGCACCAGAGCAAAATACAACCCAAAAATTTATGCATGCTCTCTCAGGTTTTCTGTAAATATTCCAAAAATGGTGAGAAAAAATACCGATAAGGAGTGGACATTTCTAAAAAATTCCTCCTAACTACATTAATTCCAAGAAAGCAATCAAAGATCAACATTTTTACAAGAAATTTTCCAGTAGGCAACAAACACACCTAACTGTAGTAACAAAGATAATATGGCAGGTATGGTAGATTGAGGTGAGAATTGAGGGGGAGTTGGACAGGATGGGACTGGATGTGTAGGGCATGGGGTGGGACAGGATAAAGTGGAGTACAATGCAATGGGACAAAGCAGATGGAGTGGAATGGGAGGAGGCGGGATGGGACAGGACACGGCAAGGCAGGCAGGCAGAGAACCACTGCTGGTATAATTCATTCCTTTCAGGTCTAATTGAGATTTATGGTAAATATACTGTATAAACCTGGCATCGCACCATACTTGAGCTTGTTCAGTAATAAAAAATAAATTAATTGGACGTTATTGCAGATTTGGTTACAGAATTAATCTAGGAAGAATAAACAGAAATTTCGATTACATTGAAATTTTATTAAAAATTCCAAATTTTCGTGAATTTTTCAGTACAATCCTTAAATTTTATTGATTATTTGATCTCCAGGCAAGTTTTATTCCTTACCTCAGCTATTGAGTCTTCAGGCTTTGATGCATGAAAGTACATCTTAAGTTTTGATTTGATTTGATAGAAAAATCATTTTGGTCAGTTCATAATGAAAATCCATCTTGGGAACATTTAGCTCTCATTTTATACCCAATTGACCTCTTAAAAATACCTTTTATGCAATAAGAAATGTTATTTCTCTTGGCTTTTAAAAAGTTCATAAATATTTTTTCTCTATTTTCTGTTATTTTAATATTTCATCAATCTATGAAGTAAATGATCTAACGATCATTAGACACTTGCCATATTCTTGTTAATCACAACCCGCTCGAACATTCAAAATTTCATTCATCAGTGAAGTCTTGCGCATTCTGGATACTATTTTCAATTAAGGCCATTTTGCGAATATATCAGAGATGTTCATGTAATGGAATTACGCAGTTTTGCTGCACGATATTTTAACTCTTTATTCATTTATCTTCATTTAAGGAACTAAAAACACATATGAAACTCTTTCAATTTGTAAATTCAAGACACACATTCAACAGCTTAATTCCATTTAACAGCTAATGAATGCCATGAAATGATTCTAGTCATTTCACTAGCAGCAGTGTCTGAATAAATTAAGCTAGTGTAATGACCCAACATTCAGAACTGGTTAAAATGAAATACACTTCCTGTTTACAAAGACAATTTGATGTTTTGAAAATAAAATACAAAATACCAGTGAACTGTCTCATTATTTTGGTCACTCAGAAATATACACATTGAACATTAACATATCGCAGAAATGTAACTGTTCTTCAGAAATTATCAACTTATGAAATATTTTATTACTGCTCAATTTGAAAGCAATTTTTTTGCTAAAGTCATGGAGGGCCTAACATATAATTGAGTTTTAATAATTAGTCTCAGCACTAAAATTGTTATTTATAATCTCACCTGCAACACGTAGCAAAATGTATTAGTAGCTTCAATAAAAATCTATTGAAAAAATTGCAAAAACATTCCCAATAGTCAAAATATCATATGTTGCTACAATCAAAAGTTTGTCTTTTCAAGAACAATACATTCTGCATTTCGCATTCTGATAAATTAATTACAGGAAGATGGTGCTTACATTCAGATGAAAATGCTACTTTAATATGCAATGAACATATTTAACAAAAGGCATACAAAACAGTTCTCAATCAGTATTACTAACAAGAGCTAACAATAATGTCAGTTATTGAAACATTTGAACTTCACAATTTTACAGTCCATAAAACACAAAAATACTACCTCTGATACATATGATGGAACAAAATCTACATTTATTAAGCATATGTACAAACATATTATCATCAGCCATTTCTTAGGAATATTTATCCATAAAAAATATGACTGTCCTAGTTACCAACTTAGTCCAAGGCATAAGTTTACACACCGGAAAGAAATTTACCAATACCCAAAACAGACGTAGGAAATATATTCCTCCAATAAAGTCATATTTGCATCTAAACACCACAGGAGCAATTTAGTCAGTTTCAAAAGTCGAAATGTTCAGTGTTCAATTTCTAAACCCATTAGAAAAAAAACCTGTTAGAATGAAAAACCTTAATATTGCCTTGTTTTCATAAAAATTATATCACAAATCATTATATCAATACTACAGATACTTTACAATGTTTACATGCTTGTATAAATTTATAAATACTGTTTTGCAAAAGTGCGAGCTTTGTTTGTTCCCAGGGTTGTGTTTCCATTATCTTTGTAATCTTAAACCAACATACCATACAGTAGACTATACTCTCGTATTTGTTCAGATAATTGTTCAATTAAATAGTCCTACAAACAATGCTACAATTCAGCTTATTTAACAATATCCACGACACATACAAACATCTGAAATACATTTGCTCATACTTTTACAATATAAATAAATAATACGCATAATGAAAATGGTAAGAAAAGTGAATCGCCAACATAGTGACAATGAGTATTGTGTCTTGACACTTTTAAGGCATTCTAACAATGTGCAAATGAAACAAAATCATTACAAAATGTGTTAATCACCTTACAAGCCTAGTTGCATGATATGTTCATGAAAAATACATATCATACAAGTGAACTGATTCATCTTCTACAAGGCAGTCTTAACTCGGTAACCACAATTGAGGCACACAAAAATCAGTCACACCATACTTACAAATTTATCTAATAGCATACATAACGTTCTACATATACACACGTTTTGCACCACGAAGTGAATCAGCTCTTTGTCAGTCCCAGCTCTCATCACTACCATAGTTCTCTTCGTCAGAAGTATCACCAAAATGTTCCTCATAGTCTTGTTCCTCAATGTCAATGTGCGTGAAAGATCGTTTCCGCTTCACACCTCTCTGCTTTAGTTGCAGAGCCAATATATCTTCTTTTGTACGTTCTTTTCTAAATTCATAGACTAGAGGGAAAATGTGTTCGATGGCGGCTTGGACATCAGCAACACTTGGAGCTATTGACAAAAAATAAAATGCAAATTAACGTCACAATATTGTGTTCCATGGAGGGGGAAAATCCAATTAATCTGAAGCATTTAATTTTATACTATTACAATTATTATTTTTAATTTTATACTATTACAATTTTGAACTAAGAAGATTAATGGATTTTATTATACAGGGAACCTTAAAATGGCAGTCAGCCTCAAAGTGACAGTCTACACATGATCATTCCTGAGGTTGGGGACGTCCCATCCTCTTATTAAGGAAGTAACAAGGCCTTCAAAAAGTGCTCCAACTAATTCCAATATGCCACTCTCCATAACTGCATAGTAAATTTGAAAACTTCTTCTTTGTTATCTATACATGTTCTCTCCTTTTTCTTGAACATTCTTTCTTCCATTATGCTGCCCACCTTTTAGTTTTTTTTTCTTGCCAGCAAGAACTGATAGGCTACTTCCAGAATTCTAATGTGTGTTTTCATTCAGTACACTCATTTTTCAATATTTTTATTTTATTTTTAACATTTGAAAGATTTTTACTTGGGCTTCTTCATTATGATTCAAAATTTCTTATCTTATGCCATTTTTTCTTACAAGTATGAATTTTCTTTTCTTCTATGTTCATTTATTCTCTATTAAATCTTTCCCAAATTCTTGAATTTGATTGTTGATCCAACTTTTTAATTTTCTATTACTAGCGGGATGGCATGTGCTGAGAGCTCATATTACATTATTGTAGAGAATGATTATTTGCTTTGTCTCAAATATTATTACTGATGGATGATCCCAAATTTGAAAAATTAAGTAATCATTTCAAGGAGGAGAGGAATTAAAATGGTAACCAATATATGGAATGAGAAAATGGCACAATTATCAAGAAGAAAAATACTTATTTTAAGAAAGTATTTTCTAAGCTATAATTTAACAGAAGAGTTTGGCAAGTATCAGGCATATAATATAAAGAGTTCACTGATTATCAAGCTTTTTCAGGTTCTACTTTACATTCAAAGTAACGCTACAGAACTTTTCAGGATAAAATAAGTATCAAAAAACAAACATGATATTAAAACAGGTATTACAAAGCTTCCATCCTGCTCAGTTGTCACTAGAAGAATAAAGAAGTCTCAAAAAGAACTTATTTTAAGATTTTTGAATCCCGAATACATGCACAACTAATAGAAACATTAATATGATTTAATGAGCACATAGTTCACAAATGTTTAAATATATTCCAAAAAATGGTCGCTACACAGAACATTTGTTAAAATTCTATACTTAATATTGAATACTTAGAGACCCAAACCTTCAATAAATAATAGTTCACAAGAAGAAAATGCTTTAATCAGCAAAAGTTTTCTTTAAATGCTGTTAGATAAAATTTAAATAAAAGAAACAGTAAATTTAGTACAGAAGTAGTAGTTAGTATGGAAGTCCGTACAATCCATGTTGTCAGAATTTGTTCATCACAAAAATGGATGGAATTAGACAAATTATCACTAGGTATGTTAGTATAGAAGTTGGGACTTAACGTATCAACAAAATTATGTCTTATTAGTCAAAGCAATGGAAAAGGTGTCGTATTTGTCTGACTCCAAATATTTTTTCTGTATATAGTTACATCTGTCTGACCCTAAGGTAGCAAATTAGGGTGTGATTAATTTGTAAACAATTTCTCTGAACCCATAAAACGACAGCTTTTTAAATAAGATTTCATGGTTTATTGTGAAAAAACCTTTTGCTAAGTCTAGGAAAATAGTAATACATAGGATATTTTTATCTATGAAATTACCAATTTCATCTGTAATATAAACAATAGCATCTGTAGTACTCTCTTCTTAAAAGGTAAACTGACAAGCATTAATGATATATTGTGATAAGATGTGCGCCTATAAAACTGAAATTGATTTTCAAAATTTCTCGAAAATTTTTGCAAAATTTGAGAACGACACCAGTCTATCATTCATAGCATTTTCCTCAACTGCTCTTTTATGCACAGGTATCATATTGGCTTTTTTAAAACGATTAAGAAAATTTCTTATTTCCATAATGAAATTAAATGTGTAAGTCAATGGCTTAGATATGTATTTCGCAATGCATTTAATTTACTCTTGTAGGAATATCATCTATACCACCAGATTTCTTCAATTTTGAAGTGTCTATAACCTTTTCAATTTCCAGCTCATTAGAAGGAAATAGAAATAAAGAATCTACAATCTACAATGATATTCATATTGAGATTATTAGGAGTGTCAACCTCAATTTTACCTGGCATTTTTGGGTGTATTTCTACAAAGTAATTAGCAATTTCAGTTTCATCATTAATATAATTTTTTATATTTATATTATTTTATAAATAAATATAATATCTCAGTTTGTTCTGAGTATAATCTTTTAATAGATTTTCTTACTGCTCTATTTTTCTCCAAACTAATATTTATAAATTTTCGTAGAGATTTAACATTCCCACTGCATGTTAATAATAAAATTACAATATTTTTCCTTTAACTATTTTTAACATACAACCCAACATTTTATTGTAGGTTTTGTATATATCTCTAATTTCACTATTTAATGGTTTAGCTTTTATTTTGTTACACAAGTAATTTTTGTTTTACATGACACTCCATCTTTTTCTAGGTTTGTTTCTACATTTCCTTCCTGCATGTTTTTCAAATGCATCCTTTATCATAGGAATAAAGTTATAAGTAAAGGTTTTATGTACATGTACCCATCTAAATGAAATTTCAATTCACATTACTTATAAACACATTATTCACATTACTTACAATAGTTATAGAGTATATATAAGGTAAATTTATGAACATTTTTGTATTAGGGTTATATCATACTCTTATATGGCACCTGTAAAGCCACATTGAACCAAGTGCCAATTCAAAATATTTTTAGTTCACCATGCCAAAGGGGAAAGACTATATACTTCCATTTGTTTGTGACAATGGGTAATCTTCCACCACCTGTATCTAACATCTAGCAATTTGGTGAAAGATTATCCATCATCAGAAACAAATGGAAGTAAATATTATTTCCATTTTGGCAAGAAAAAAGTAATAATTCTTTGTGGTGCTTAGTTCACTATGGCTGTACACATGCCATATACGAAGTAAAAATATAATATTTCACGATATGCACATTTTTGTAATTTGCCTACATCCTTTCATCCTCCTTTAATACTTACAATAGTTGAATACAAAAACAAGTGTAACTTACCAGTGACAGTAATGCTACCAGTAGAAAATATCTTTAGAGTGGCTTTGGGATTATATAGCTTGTAAGTGACACCTGGGTGCAACTCTGGCTCGTACCTGTGGAAACAACGCTAGTGATGTCTTCCAACAAAAAATATATATATACATGAAAATACACAGCTATAAAAAACATCTTCAAAAGATTTACAAAAAGAAGTTTCAGTTAAATAGCGTCAGACAAAAAGTGACTCTATATTTATTAATAACTGATGAATAGTTAGGATTATTAAATATATATTTAGAGGTAGTGTTTCTATATTTCTTTTAGTTTTAATTATATAATGCATTAACTATTTTAGCTCTATTCCATTAGGCAAAACAAAAATTGTTTCACTTTGACAAAAAATATTTCTAATTAAGTTAATTTATAATAGAACATTCAATGGATAGTAATGAAGGCTTTTTTTAGTACATAAACTACCTCCTCACATTTGAAACAATCTCAGAACTATTTGCGTTCTCAAGGCTAAAGTCATTTAAAATAGAGAAATCACAGAATTTAACTGAGAACTCGAGATACCAAAGAGGCACAAGTGCTTCCTGAGAATTTATTTAAAAGTGTTCATGACTAAATGTCATTATGCTTTTAATACAATGAGCACCAAATTAATGTTTCATCAAATGAAATATATCTTCAATTAACGAATGAAGGTTATGTTTAGACATAACTGTATTGAACCCAACTTACTCAGCATGTTCCTTAAATCTCTCTGAAAATGCAGTGATTTTAATGGCAAATGGCATTGAACATGTGCCAAGAACATTCACTACTCGGAAATTATTGAATTTAGTTTTGAAACCAAGTTTTTGCAAACATCGAGCATATCGCCTTGCTGCTACTTTTGCTTGGGGTTCACTTGTAGCTCCTGTACAAGTTATTTTTCCTGAAGACCACATTGAAGCTGTTGTGTATGGTTTTCTTAACTTCATTGTGATCATCTAAAAAAAAACAACAAAATACCATAAATACTAATCATTGCCCACTTCACAATAAGTAACAGAATAAAAATTTACATAAAAATGTGTATTAAAAATTATCTTTCTCATAATTTTTTTAAGTTTTGTTTTCTTATTAATTCGATGAGTTTTCTTAAAAAAACTAAATCTAGGCACTTCTACAAAACTCAATTTCGTACAGAAATACCATTTTTAGAGATAACAAAAACTTCTGTCTGGCGAGAAGAAAAAATCTCCACGAAAAACAAAAAAATTATAATACAGATATTAGACACATATTATGAACACTATTCGTGCAAATTTCTCAGCAAGTTTTCTAAGGTATTACCTAAAAGAAATCCCAATCAACGGCACTTTAAGAGTTACTTTGCACATCTTACAGTTCTACAAGTGAGAATCAATCATGTCTAAAAAGCATGTTATTAGCAATTTTGCCCCTGACCTCCATGAGACCATTAGCTTTTCCTCTGAATTTTGTTTAAAAGCCAGAATTATTTTTTCAAACACACAATCTAGTTTTATTAGTATCTCTTTTTATATAAAAATTAAAAATGATCATACTGCTAAACTTTTACTGAAGCATTTTGTGTTCAGAAATTCAATAAAAGTGAGTAAACAATTCAAGAAAGAAATTGGAAATAATAAAATAACTTTTTTTAAATAGTAATTACCTACCCCAGTAGAGATTAATTTCTTCTCAAACAGAACTCTGGAACCTTGGTCTTTTAATTCAAGAAATCAGTTTCCTTTATTTATATGATAATTGCTGATGCAACATTAATAACAAAATATTGATGTTCAATATTAAAACATCAATGTTAATATATCGACCAAAAACCATTGTGTTTTGCGGTTAGTTCAGCAACTTCTAACATTAAATTTGTGTGCAACATTTTAATTTGATAGTATTCTTATTTCTTAATTTAAAATTAAGATTATAATTAACTAAAACCAAAGTTACAAAGTAATGAGAAATATGAACAAAACTAAGCCTGAAAGCCCAAGGAACATCTCACAGTTCAGTAAAGAATGTTTTGAGGAAAAGGGAGAGGCCCTAAGCCTATGGTATATGCACCACTCCATGTACGAAATACACAGAAAGTCGTAAGAAATACTAGGAGGAAATTGGGTTCATCTCAAGCGAGATATAGTCTGCTCCATGAAGGTAGTTCAAACAGTGTTCATTTGGTTTCAACACAAACTGTTATTTCACATTTTAACTTTTACAAAATGATTATGGGAATTCATTCACAAACAAAATCATTGCAAGAGTAAAAACCTAGAGCGAAAAACGTATGTTGAAAACCCTCTGTTTAAATATTTCACGATTAAATCATTGATATTATTATAAAACACTAGATGGGAAAACATTGACATGGTAATGTGCACCAATTAATTTAATGTCAGTTACAGTTACATTTGAAATATTTTATTACTAAATAATAATATAAATCAAAAGACACGTCCAAAACCCATTATTCACTGCATTGACATGAAACTACTATGTTTGTAGTTAAAAAAAAAAATTATGGTATCTTTTCTACCGTCTTTAAAAGTTTGTTTGTAAATTAAGTTATAAAGTCTCAAATTTTTTTTAACAAAGTTTTCGCAAGAATTAATTTATGTATAATCCAAAATTACTGGAAAAGTACAAAACTGCCAGAGCAAACAAATAATATCTATCTAAGATCACATCAATGGTGCAGATTGTACCAATACCTTAAAAATGTATGACAATTTAAGAGAGAGCAGTCAAACACACTCAAACTGCAGCTGTTCTAAATTCTAAGAATGGATCAAATTGTACATGGTCATCTTCCTGTTTTGGTATGAATTGGATAAAAGCACCAATAAAAAAGCAACTATCATTGCAAAATGAAAAAAATACAAGGGGAAGAAAAGAGAAAAACAGTTTTCAAAAATTGTTTCTTTTTTTCATCTTGCTTAACACGTTTATCGGAGCATACATTTCTTAACAATACAGATATTCATTGAAAACAAGTTTTGCCAATAAGAGTACAAAATTTTGTAGAGTACCATAATTACGGGAACACTCCTTTGAGTACTTTGGGAAATTCATATCCCATTACATTCCTTGTAGAAATGGCCTTTCTTTAAGATAAATACAGTAAAAGATTAGAATTCATATTCAATTAGCCTCAAATTAATTTTCCTTCACTTACAATTTTTTAAATACTCCACATTTTCTGTAGATAAAAGGTCTCCTTAATAATTCAAAATGCCAAACATCTTAAGAGCAATTCTTTCATTTAAAAAGTTGGATAAGTTACAAAAAATAAAATTTCTATTTTTATGTCCTTTGTTCATTTCAAAATTGTACTACTTCTTATGTGAAGAGAAAACGAATTTTAGTTGCTAATCGTTTCCCTTTAAATCAATTATCAGATCTTCAACAAAAACTAAAAATATTATTCACCTATAAGCTGAGATAGGTTTAAGTTTGTGCATTAAAGTTGACGTTTAAGACTGAACTCCTTGAGCATAAAAGAAACAAAAACAGGAAGTTTTACCAAACACACAAACTTAAATTATGATTCATAGTATTTGTCCTATTCCCACAAAACAATTATTTCTAAATTCTTCAAAATTATGTACATTACAATACACATGAAGAATTTGAAAACAAAATTACAACACAAAAATAATGATTCCTATTACGGTACACAAGCAATATCACAGATCAATTTGATTACACCTGTTGGCAGTTATCAAAAATACTTTTTGGCCTCTACCCATTCCCTTGAAATAATAAGATAAACTACTATATTAAATAATCATAAAAACTTAACATGGTGTTACTTTTTATAAATATGTAATTCTGTAAATTTAATATACATACAAAGCAACAAGAGTACTACACCCTTTTAACACCATCCTGCAATGTATTCATCCATACCAATCTAACATCACATCAGTGGTGCAGATCATACAAATACCTAGGGATCTTTACAATTTACTTTTGAACAACATTTGCCAAACCCAGGGTTACTCTAACTCATAGGTAACTAAGTTTCTAAGGGTTATAATCTTAATCCCTTTCTCATCTTCAAAGAGCTTGTCAACCTGCTCTTTTGAACCCCAATTTGGGAGAACTGAGAACGCAGAACATTGTCAGTGTGAAGTTATGTGTCATTGTGAAGAATTTTATAAATTATTTAAAGGTCAGACAAAGAAACTGACTAACCAACACTTGGAGCGCAAGTACGCTTCTAAATGCCTTAATATAACCCATTTGCAATGAATTATAGAAATTATTTTAAAAATGAATCAATAAAAAGGGGCAAAAGATAAAAAATGTCTATTTGCTCAGTTTCTGAAATAGCTTCAAGAAATTAGGGCAATTGAAAAACAACACAGTAATATTTGTTTTATTGTTCTTGGTGAAGCAATTAAAAATTAGAAAATGCTCGATTCTTTTTTAGAAAGATAAAAAGATATACAAAATAATGTATTTCAACTAGTAAAATGCATATGTAAGTAAAATAGTTTTGCACTTCTCTTAAGAACCAGTCCATTTAACATTTATTAGACAGTGGAGAATTATATAATTGAAATAATTTTTTTCAGCTTTCAAATGCTATTTTTCAAGTGCTTTTGCACCCCTATCTTCAGGTCTAATGAAAAATACAATTGTTCATAATTAATAAATATATACTAATTTAAATTCTCTATAATTAACATCTTTAAAACAAACTTACCATTCTTTCATATAACAAGTTTTTAGGTCCAACAGAAGTACTCATTATCTGGTTCATTGTGATCTGCCAGGGAAGCTTATATTTTTTTTAAATGCCTAAGTTGGTACCAAATAAAATAATTATATAATTCTCTGCTGTCTAAAAAAATTTAAAAGGACTGGTTCTTAAGAGAGGTACTAATTAAGAAAAGATGGTATAAATTGTATAAAATAATACAGGTTTAAAAGCCTGAGTCGGTGACCACAGAATGAAAATGATTTAATGAATGTATAACTTTTATTGTTCTCAGGAAATATCGATTTACCCAGCAATCTGAGCCATCACTTTAAGAATCAATAAAACAAAAAAGATTTAGAACTGCAACAATATGAATGCAGAATTATAATATACAATGGATAATAACTACAACACCAAACCTAAAGCACTGAATATTTTACAAAACAACACCCAACAACAATATTTGCAACTCTTCAGAAAGATCTACTCCCAAAGTAGAGTTGTCTAATTTGATAGATTAGTAATCTGTTTATATTTTGAACAATACCTTTGAATGATCTCACATTTAATCCCATAAGAAAATGTTTGACATACAAAGATATCCTGAACAACACAGCCAAATTCTAATGTAATTGTTTTTACAGTTTTATACTATTAACTATATTCAAAAATTATAAATCAATAATGCAAAGTAACTCAATTAATCCGTGACTGCACCTACAATAATCGGCAAGTACCTCATGAGATTCATCATGAAATTATTTTTTCTTACTTCTTTACATGAATAAGTATTATTAAAGGATAACACAATGCTCTTTCAACTGCAGAGAGAGAACTGGTTAATGAAGTTAAAATGGAATTTGATCCCTCAGATTTCACTTCTTTCAAAAACCTCACCCCTTCCAAATTTTCCCCTAGTCTTATAAAATACAAGAGCAGCTTCAACTGTTAATGCAAATGCATTCATCCTTACTTGAAACAAATGAACAACTAAGAAATAAATCAATATACACATGCAAGCAACAACTGGAATGTTTAAAAGCTTAAAATGCATAAGCTATAAAAATGAGAAATGTAGGTTTTCCTGCTGCCATTACTAGACACTTGAAAACAATCTCATGACACCTGAAACCTCACTCCTTTACACAAACTACACAAATAGTCACAGATCAATACCCACCCCATTTTCACGTCTATATTCCACATTTGAGCCATTTAATGCAATTTGCCGGAGATTCAAATGACACCTCACACTAAAGCTGCATACCACATTGTTAATAACAATGTCTATTTCTGGAGTTTCACTATTATCAGCAGTAGTCTCTTCTGATTTGACAATTGATTCACTTTGTTCACTTGGAGATGAACTATTTTGTTCATCCACTTTATGACTGAGGTTTCCATTGGAAAGTGAATTGATTCCATTTTCCTGAATAGCTGTTGCCATCATATTGGCAGATACTGTTTTCTTTCCTGAAATCAACATAAGAGAATGTACAGCTAAAATTGCTGATGTGTAAAACTCAAAATTAACTTTCTGCACAACCTGTAGAGGGGAAAAACACACTTTCTGATAAACACAAAAATTATTATACCAATAATCCAAGGAAATCTTATGACATGATTCAAGGTTTTGAAGCAAAATTAATTATAATTTGTAAAAATGCAATACACAATAAAAACAAAATATTTCATGCCATTGAATGTAACAACCAAGTTCCAAACCAGGTCATAGTTCAGACTCTTTTGCTTTCGAAAATACACCAGCTACAAGAAGAAAAATTGATCTGAAAGACCATTTTAAAGAAATATGTACCATGGCTACACAATCGAGTAGCTCTCTACTACCAAAACACTAGATCATTCAATATACCAATCTTTACATACCTCTTCACATTCACTATTGACTTCACATGAACTCAGAGAAAAATAACTTGAATAATGAAGTGAAAACGGGATAAATCACTGAAAACTATTGTAAACATTGAACAACAACAAAACCCTTAAAACACTTTCCTCAGAACTATTCCAAGACTATTTTGGGGGGTAAATAGCACGTCCTTTATTTAACTAGATCAAGAAGTGAATTTAACTTTAAATTCCTATCGTAATCAACACTACCACCGCTACTCGGCTCTTCCCTCTTGAACTCGTAATTTCCCATGAGAACGGAAGTGTTCAATAAAGAATTATTAACCATGACTCTTGTCAGTTATTGAACGAATTTACTAATTAAACAACATTGATTATTCTTACCTCTTAAGCAAAAAAGGAACGTTAAGGTCAAAATGATCAAGTACACCAATATTCACGAAATTCACGGCCAAAATGCCACACAAGTATCATCATTACATCCATTGTCCGCAGCCATATTGCACCGTCTACCACTGCCTATATGATACTTTCTGCGATACTGAAAATACAGCACGAATATATATTCCCTGAAAAACCGCTCCAACCAAGAGTAAAGTTATTTTCATCATTAACCTCATTCGATTTATTTTATTTTTAATAATGAAATAAATACAAGAGTTAAATTACCTATTTCACATTTTTAATGCTTTCACCACATTTTTGTTTTCTTTTTAGATATTGTATTCGATTCAACTTACTCACACAACACCCCAATAGTGAGAAATAAACACGGTTCAGGATTATTATTAAATTTATTTCATCGCCCATCCATTTATTCATTATTACTCTTTAACTTATTCAAATTGCTTGGTATATGGCTCAATAATTATTAGGGAAAAAGTAGCGTATCTAAGGAAATTTAGAAGTTTCCAGAAAACATGTAAACCGATTTTTTTATCCGTAAATTTATACTCTCGCGACAAACTTTGGCCATCCTATTTTCAATTGCATAAAACAATCACTAGTATTAATATTAATAATTATAATATTATTAATACATACATATGTATTGAAATCGTGCACATCACTGGAGAATCAAGGAAGGATCATGGGGGCCATGGCCGCCACCAAAAGTCCTAGTTTTCGTTGTTACCTTCTTGTATTTGGCAAAATTGATTTAAATATAAATTAGTTAGAATTATGTAATTATTTTAAAAATATAATATTGAATAGTATAGTTTTGGCAATACACTATAAAAATAACATACTATACAACAAATGTTCATTATTTAATAAACATTTATGATGATCCGCCCCCAGGTGCGCATTTCATTGTGAAATTTCACTGAATTATTAGATATTGAAGACATTATTAAAAACTTTAACCACTACTAGATAACGGCAAGGGAAGCTTTGGGCCTCCTACAATCAGCCAAACGTCTTTAGTCTTATAGTTTACTTATTCTTATTTAGGGAAGTATTTTTATTCGGGTGAACGATGTGAAAGACGCTGGATGGCACACGAGGATAGACAAAACATGAATTCGGACTACACGTGTTAGAAGTAATTTACTATACTTAGGGACAAGATTTAACCCCCTTTTCGTTACCAACAATAAGAGTTTCTCTGTCGGAAATTTGCCCGTTTTCCCGCATTACAATACTATCTCTTTACTGCGGAAGTAGTAGCCAGAAAATAACTAATGGTGCTACTGAATGGCATAGACATTCTGATACTAATTCGTTTCTAATTTCTTTGGTGTAGGAAAATTTTTGATTTTGCCCCACCCTCTTCCCAGCTACCATTTATCGCCACCCAAACTACAACTTTTTTGGTCTCCAAATAGGAGAACTGAAAGATGAATCTAAGAACAATATAAAAGAGTAACTTGTATAAATGGAAATTATTTTTGAAAAATGTTGAGTAGTTTTTGAGAAATTGTCGTTTGAGCTTTTTCTGAAAAAAAAAAAAAAAAAGGATTTAAAAGCTCCCTATTTGAGTTTTCGAGAAAATTCATAAATTATTTAAAGTAATTATACTAACAAAATGTGCAATAATGTATACAATTAGCTGGTAATGTTGATATGAATGGAGTGAGAGATATTTAAAAAAACACATTTGAGAAATTATTGTTCACGTTCTTGAGACCAATTGCACTATTGCACTATCATGCACATATGCATTGCGCATTTGCACTATCATGCACTTTTCTTTTTAAAAAATTATAAATTCCCGTAATTTATCTGAAATTTATGCGATTTCTAAAAAAATTCCCAAAAATTCTTTAAATTTTTCTTCAGGCAGACGGACGTACAAAAATACATGAAAATACATGCAAAGACACACGTACAGAGAGACAGAGAGAGACAGACACACACGTACAGAGAGAGAGACACACACACACACGTACAGAGAGAGAGAGACACACACACACACACACACGTACAGAGAGAGAGAGAGACACACACACACGTACAGAGAGAGACACACACACACACGTACAGAGAGAGAGAGAGACACACACACACACGTACAGAGAGAGAGACACACACACGTACAGAGAGACACACACACGTACAGAGAGAGACACACACACGTACAGAGAGAGACACACACACGTACAGAGAGAGACACACGGGAGGGTATACCGCAACACAAGGACTTTTCCTCGAAATATAAGATCTTTTCCCCAATGTATCATTACCATCATCATCATCATCATCATCATTATTATTTGTTTTACAAATTACAGAATCGTATTTTTTTAATATCTATGTTGTTAATATTTAATTACCGGCGATTTGTATACATCATTGCATTTTTTAGTACAAGTGCTTCAGATTATTTCAATTGGCATTTCTCGATAACTCACATGTTTCGCATTTACAGTTACTTTAAACGATATTATCTGAAAAAAGCTTCCAAATTTTAACGAAAAGTAACGTGTTGAACCAGGGTTTAATGTTCTAAACCATTCTTGAAGTTGACATTAGGAAAGCGCAAAATTGAGGAAATGTGAAAATGTATATTGGTGACGATAGATGGCAGCTTTTTTTGTACGGTAGTGCCACATGCATTGAAAAATGTCATCAAAACGCCATTTGGAAATATGTTTTGTTTATCAGAAAATACACAAATGTATCATTTTCAGATAATACTTTCAGAATTTAGAAATCTTTCACTTCAAGTACTTTTATATTACCGGTGTTTTGAATGCCTACATTATTTAATTTGAGTACAAGTGCATGAAATGATGTCTTGTTAAATGCCAAATTTCCAGAAACCCTGATCTCGGATAGGGAGAAAAAACTTTCTACACATCTTCATCTCGCATTGTATACTTCTAGAAAAAACTTCCAGAACCTCTTTCTTGTGAACCTATTCTATCCCGCTGGGGCACCTGAAATGAAGCAGCACCATATTATGCAGAACACTGGGATAATGCTGCTGATACGGTGAAAGACTTTCCAACTGGTGAGTGGAGCATGTCTTGTCTGTAAAGTAACTTGAGAAAAGTCGGACTTTGAAACGAGATATTGGGGACAACAAGACTAATTTTTCATTCTTGTCCTGAATAACAGACAAGCTGGAAAGCATACGAAAACCTTTGACAGATCACAGTTGGGGCAAGTCGCCGAAGTGAAAATTAGTGCTGCCAAGGGAGCCGCACAGGACAAAGTGCAACAGGGAGAGAGTATATTAAAAACAAAATCGGGATATGGTGTAATGGTATAAGATTTGGTGGGGGGTGGGTCGAGAAGTTCCAAAAGTAGTGGGAATAAGAAAATACTAGATTCAAGTTTGTTTCTACAACATTGTGCCAGTGGAAAGAGGCTTTCCATTGACTCTACAATATATTCATAATATAAATCTTTCCACATAAAACATTTGTCAGCAAAAATTTGTTAATCCAGCTTGGTAAGTGATACTTTTCAAGAATTTAAATATAAAGTGTATAAACATTGGTGAAACATTTTTTTCAATCCCATTTTGGCGCGAATTTCAAAGTTTTAAACTGATAAAAATGGTTTTAATTTTTTCACTATCGTGCACATTGTTTAAAAATTTGAACAAACTATATGTTATAGAATGTTATAAAACATATTCTGGGGCGGGGGGAATGAGGCCGTACTCCAACGTTATCACGTCCAAAATCAATTTTTTTTATTTGAATTTGGAGTCAACATTCGTTGACAAAAACACTTATTAATTAATACTTAACTAATAAAACATGAAAAACACGTTTCTCGTATCTCTGAAAAAGATTGCCTTAGGAGGCTAAGTTTTGGGGAATCTACGGTCTTTTTTATTCGTTCATACGAGCATCGCAGTTAACCATTTGTCCCCCTTTGTCCTTTCGCACACTGCGATTGTTATTTAAAAACGGTCTCTAGACTCTTACCAACCCCCCTTGCAACAGAAGATAGAGAGTAATGACAATTCTTAACTCATGTAAGCGTTAAACGATTATTTTGAATAACTAGCAATAACACAAAATCTTAGTATGCAACACGTCCTCTATTAGACCAAGGACCCGGCCTTAAATGATACAGACACCTGATGAATGCGGTTTCTATAACGTGTTGTAACTATATTATCTACGCACGTTTATTATCCCTCATTTCCCTATAGGCGAAAGGAGTGGGGGTTGGTTATTTCGACATCAATACTAGTAGTATATTAACTGTGTTGCTCTTTTTTATATGCAAAATAATTTATATTACACGGGAGCGAATACTTCTGGTGAACAGATCGTGATCACTTATTTTTAATTCAATTAATGATAGTAAAGAAGTGGGGAGAATAGTTCGGGGCAGTAGAAAAACGTGCGAGTATAATAAATATAAGTACCGTATGAAAATAAGTGAATGCAGTTACAATAGTTTTGACAAAAACCACAGATTCGTAAATAAATAGGCAATGCAATGGTATGATTCCAATGAAGAGAGGCTTCCAGGATTCACGTGGATGGCATTTTCTTATTATTCGAATATTTTTTTCTAAAGTCTGGCTACCGTACGATGATCTTCCCCAGAATATTGTGGCAAACCTTACGTGTGAATGAACATTTTCAAAATACACCCAACGAGTTGCATAAAGGCAGACAGAATTTAAAATAATTTTGAATGCATAACATAATGAACTTAATTGAGCATTTATTTCTGTTATATGTATATTCCGTGTGAGGTTTGACTGAATTGAGATCCAAAAATTTTGTTATCTTAACATCAACTATTATAAAGTGGTTAATTTTCAATGGAGTATGTGGCTGCCCGTTTGAAATATAAAAATGCACTTTTCCCTTCATTAATAATTCATTTGTTAAACCAATTTAAATCATCTGAAATCGTACTATTTACTGCCTTTTTACAAAGAACATTCGTGTCATCAGCGAACTGTTTTCCAATGTTAATTAATGAGGGCGTACCGTTTTAGTTATTGACGTTTTGAAGGCCGATAAACACCAAATAACAGACCTGATTGAAGTTTGTAAACAGAGACAATAGCCGCGGTCTACAGCCACTAAGTCTGTTAGGGGCCGTCCATGAATAATGGTTTGGCACGGAAATTTGGAGTATTATTAATACCCCATTCCCCCTAGTAACGCACCAGTAACGCGCACTTGAACCCCCTCCCTAAATAACTACGTAACGCTTGTGCCAACATCTCCCTTGTAAATGCAAGTGAAAATAAATTAAATTACGATAAAAATAATTGATATTTCTTTTACATGTGTTATATATAAAATTAATTAATGAAAATTAAAATAGAAATTAGTTGGAGATGCTCAATGCACCGAATAATAAGATTGGGGTAATTTGTAAGAGAAGTGTAGCGTCATAGGTTTAGCTTCCTGTGCTGAGAGAGATGCTGAAAGGTAAACGGCGCGGATAACTAAAAATAGCCACCGGAACAAAAGGTGCCATACCAGATCAAGACTCTTCTAGAGGGTAAGTGGCGGACTATAAGGTGCCGTGCACCAAAGCAGCAGTCTACAACGCCAATTTAAATGGAGTCCAGAATATACGTCATATCAGTTGTGTATTTTCCTTCTTAATTTTACATATTCAAAAAAATGTTGGAAAAATATTTCCTTGTATTGTAACAATTCACAACTAACAACTTTGGCTTATTTGTTTTAAAACAAATTAGTTAATATTGTTTTAGTACAAGACTCAGGAAATGAATTATTTGAACAAATGTTGAAAATGTAAAAAAATAAATATCAATGTTACGTAACACATGACTAAGACCCCCTATCTCTATGTAACGCAGAGTAACACTGCCTCAGACCCCTTCCCCCCTTCAGCACTACGTAATTAATGGACGATCCCTTTTTTGTGTTATCGGCCGTGTGTCGTTCAATACTTTTCGGATTACCATCATCTTATAAGAAAAGAATATGTATAAATAAGAAATACCTTTGCTTTCAATACGTAGGAGAGCAACGCCATCTTCCAGTTCAAATCGATACGATTCTCGCTTCCGATGCAACAGGTACAAGAAGGCCAAGGTTTTAACGTAAGAACATAACGCACCTCCCAATAGAAAAGTGACAAGTGCGAATTTCTGATTTCTCAGAAATTGCAATTTTAAGTTTCGAAGTTCTGTAATACTCGTTATGTATTGTACCAAATATTCACCTTGTAGCGGAATTCGGTGCATATACTCTCTGTAGCGGACAGTAATTGAACTAATTCAAAATCAACCTCAAAATAGTAATAGTACCTCTTGGTAACCTCTTATCAGCTTTTATCTGAAAAATGACGGTTTCGCACTTGTGTCACTTTTCTATTGGAGGTGCGATATTAGAAAGTTTTTACTGGAAGCAAAAGGCTACTTAAAAATATAATTTTTGGTATTTTTAGGGCGTGTCGGCGAGATGTCATTGACTATGGATGATACAGAAATCACGAGCAATGAAATGCTAATTACACTGAATTGCACAAAAACAAGAAATAGAATTTTTGTAATACTCAAAGACTGTGTTCCATTCAATGCATACGATTTGTATAAAAAATTACTAACCTACGTCCATTTAACCTGGAAACGAAACGCTTTTTCGTAGATTATAGAAATAGGAAATGCACTAAACAAGTTGTGGGTATACACATAATAGGAAACGCTCAAAAATATAACGGAATTTTTAAAATTAGACTCTCTTGAAATCTATACAGGGCATCGTTCTCAACTATCACAGGCCACAATGCTAGTCGTAAACGGTGGCGATTAGCTCGCGTTGAACTTGGGAGGTTGGGAGTCCTCGTCAGTTTGAAAAAATTGAACAATCGGTATCGAAATGAATTAAAATTTCTAAATAGTTCTTCAACACCGACGAGGTTGCATAAACAAGAGATTCAAGCGCCTTCGACCTCTTATGAAGACTAGAATTTAGCAATAATAACTGTTAGTGGTGATAAAGATATAGCTGTTTTATTAAGTCCAGCTGATGGTGGTGTAACCGCTAGACCGAGAGCCAGTACTTCCATTTGCGATGAATTTCGCAGCAGTTTTTCATTAAATGTCTCCTCAGAATGCCTGGTGAGGTGTTATACTATATTATTTCATATCATCAGACCCCCTACAAAAGTTTCTGCGCATTGATAAAAAGAAAACGATGAAAGTCTATAGGAACTTATCTTGCAATGAAGGACAACTCAGTGAGCAACAAACATTTTCGTAATTATTTTGATAATTGGATGTTTTATAATTACAGTATTAATATTATTAGCCAAGCGAATGCACAGTTTTCACAACGGTGCGTTGCTCGCTTCTTGGTTGAATTGTACGTTTTTTAATAATAGCTGAGGTGTTAATAGCGCAGAAAATGCAATATTTCAATATTACGTAGCTGTTCCCAATAACACGAGAAAGTATGTGCTGTTGGAGCTCTAGTTTGTTAACCATTTCAAAAACTGACAAAGATGCATTCAATGTGAGGTATTCTATGCATACATTATTTTGTAATTGTATTAAAGTGCTCAAAAAGTTAGTAATAAAGTGTCTCCTCACGTCTGGCTTCAATTTTACTCCATTTGTATTCCCTGACTTTTGTATTCGTGTATTACACTTGGCCATGAATTGCGTTGACTGCGGATTTCTGGGGTTTCCCCTATCGGCGAAGGCTTGGGCTGCCCCATAGGAGCGTGGGCAGAGCCATTTCCACCTTCCCCTAGCTGCTAGACGTACTCTTTGAAGAATGCAAGTACTATTTTAGAAGTACCCTCTTCTGAACTCTTTTTGCATTAGTGTACTCCATATTATTATTTTCCTTTACTACTGCTTTTTTTAATAGGTACCTATATAACGTTTTAAATTTTATATAATTTATAACTTCTAGAAAATAATTTGTACTAATTTTTCAAGTAAACGTTTCGCAGTTTCAAAACGTTTCTTCAGCTTTACGCACAATCAATGTTAACAAATATTTTCTGTACAATTATTTGTATCTGTGAGATAAAAAACAATAAAACCAAAATATTTTGAAGATGTCTTATCATTGAAAATTTACACTGAATTACCAAAAAATCCCAGCAGAATATCAAAGAGTTTTTAATGAGTGCAATAAAAATTGTTTTGTTTGGAAGCCGACTTCA